TGCAACACGGGCATGTTTTGTCTTCTCGGCGAATCTGACCGGAATGCCGTTGACATGCCGATTTATACGGTTCAAGCCACTGCTTTACAAACCTGATGGTGCAGCGTCCTCGGATCACCGCTTCAGCCATTCAAAAACCGTCTCATTTTTAGCCTTAGTGCTTATGCTCTTCTATAAACAAAAACTTAGTTGCCACGGAGCCGCCAGCGAAAAACAACAATTTCATATCGTGTGCAACTTCAGTTCGGCTTTGGCAAATTATATAATTGAGGTTGAGAACTATCCAAAGGGTGAACGGAGTTTCAAAGCTAAGTTTACAGTATTCTTTCTAAGTTTTGCCTTTTTACGTTGTCGATTTGACTCACGGCGAAAACATTGTAAAAGTTAACGGCATTTTATGGTTTCGTTGAGGTGTCCGCCGACCAATAAAATACTGTATCGTGCCTTAAAAAACATATTTCCACGGTGTCGTTACAGGCATATATGGACCAGATCGAAAAGATACCTCCTTTGAAGAGCAATGATGTCCAGTCAGTCGAACGATTTGCTGATCTTGTTCGCATAGCTGTTGTGAAGTTGCAAGCAGAAGGGCGTGGCGGAGAGTTGAAGGATGGTGCACTACATAGTCTGTTGGTGAGAAAATTTGTGGACAGTTAGGTTGTAAGCTACAGTCGTTGGCTCAGGGAGCACAAGAAAGACAGGTCTGTGTTAAGCTTGAGAGATTGGTTGAAGGAGGAAGTGAGGATCCGAGTTGAGGCAGTGGAGATGTTAAATGGAATCGAAACTGAAACTGTTGGGGCTGCTATGGACAGTGGCAAACAGGTTGATAAAGGTGGTCGGATCAGGAACATATTCAGTGAAGGCAATCGCTTCGGTAAGGAACCAGCAGTGCCTAGAAGCAAACCACCATGTGTGTACTGTGGAGGAGACCATGGAGTGTGGAGCTGTAGACGTTTCCAAAATATGGGAGTGGTCGAACGTTGGAATGTCGCAAGGGATAAACGACTTTGTTCTCGTTGCCTGGCAAGTGATCACGAAAGAAGAACTCGTACTAAGGCTCGACCTTGTAACATTAATGGTTGTGAAAGAAATCATCATCACTTATTGCACGGCCTCGTACAGGGTAACCCAAAAGATGGGAGAGTGGTGTCTCCACGGGAGGGAGCACCAGCTCATACACGCACATCGACCTCGAGGCAGGAGACAGCAACTGAGACCTTTTCTCTTCGTACCGTGCCAGTGTGGTTAAAAGCAAATGACCGCAAGCTGAAGGTGAATTGCGCTTCTGGATGATGGTTCAAACGAGACCTTTATTAATGAAAAGGTCGCAGGAGTTCTTGGTCTCAAGGAAAGATACCACACAGTTGCAGTTAATTTTTTGAACAAGGAGGTGGAAACATTCCAGTCAATGCCGTTGGACGTGACGATTGAGAGCCTTGATGGGGAGTTTAGTAAAGACATTAAAGTAAAGACTTGCCCTAAAAGGGTAACTGGAAACTACAAGGTAGAGAACTGGAAACAAAGTAAGGATAGATGGCCACACCTTAGGGAATGTGACTTTGCTGAGCCGGAGTGGACAATGCAGAGTTGCATTATTCCAAAGCAGATGTATGTGGTGAGGAAGGGGACCCAGTTACTCGCCAGGGGCCTTTGTGGTGGACATGCATTAGCTCACCAGAAGGGAAGAAGTGGACAGGAGCAAGGGCACACATTAGCCGTACTTTGTTTACCAGAGACCTCAATGTCAGCATCAGCGACGTTTGCTGCGATGTTGATCGTACTTTAAAGAATCTCTGGGAGATAGAAAACTATGACATTGAGAGACTTTACACTGTGATTTTCACTGAAGAGGAGAAAGAAGCCATGAAGAAACTGAGGGAATCGATTGGTTACAATTGAAATGGGTACAAGGTGGGAATACCGTGGAAAGAGGATAAGCCTCTGTTACCTGATAATCATCACACAGCATTATCCCGGTTGTGCAGCACAGAACACAAATTGAAGAAGAAGTGTGCTCTAGGAACAGAGTACTCGCAAATCATCCAGGCTTATGTCGAGAAAGGTTACTTGCGAAGGGTCGAACCAGACGAGCCGTTGCCACCGGAGGTTTGGTATTTGCCTCACTTTCCAGTCATCCGTATGGACAAAGCTACAACTAAAATACGCATTGTGTTCGATTGTTCTGCAAAAACGGACGGTGTGTCATTGAATGATGCCATTTGTGCTGGACCTAAATTGCAGAAGGATTTGTTTGATGTGCTTATTCGGTTCAGGAGGAACCCCATAGCTTTGGCATGTGACATTAAGGAAATGTATTTGCAGGTGGAGATTGAAGAGAGAGATCGTCCTTACTTTCGACTATTGTGGAGGGACCTTGATTCTAGTCGTAAACCTGATGTCTATGAGTTCAGTCGAGTAGTGTTTGGTAAAAACTCTGCACCAATGGAGCCTCAGTTTGTTGCTCAAGAGAACGCCAGAAGGCACCAGGATGAGTATCCACTGGCAGCTGAAACTGTACTCAGATCCACGTACATGGTTGATTCGATTGATAGTGTGGAAACTGTGCAAGATGGCACCTAATTGTTCCCAAGAGCTGGACAGTCTGTGGGGAATTGCAGAGCTACTGAATTACCGATTACTGCGGGGCAGGAACCTGTTGTCAAGACACTTGGTATTTACTGGAATAGTACAGAAGATACGTTTACTATTTCGACATCAAACATTTCTACAGAGCTTCCAGTGACAAAGCGAAATATAGTGAGCAAGGTTGTGACTGTATTCGAACCACTTGGTTTTGTGGGCCTTTTCGTCATGAAGGCTAAAATCCTGCTTCAGGAATTATGGGCAAGGGGTTATGACTGGGATGATGTCATTCATGATGAAATCGCAAGTAGAATCGGAAGTTGGTATGGTCAGCTTGGGAGGCTAGGTGATGTGCAGGTGCCTAGATGTTTACGTGAAGCAAGGGAGGTAGTCGCTAAGAGAATCATCACGTTTGTGGATGCTTCACTGCAAGCTTATGGAACTGTTGTATATCTACAGTGTGTATACAATCATGCTACCGTTTCAAGTCGACTGGTCGGTGTAAGGTAGCACCGTTGAAGCCTATGCCAGTGCCTCGGTTGGAACTTGCAGGAGCTTTATTGGGCGGTTTGCGATTGAAACAGCTTTTAACATTGCTACTTGGGCTGCCCATGCAATCCGTAACATTTTATTCCGACAGCATGGATGTATTGTGGTGGATTCGGGGACATGGGCGGAACTTTCGTCCCTTTGTGGCTAATCGTATCGGGGAGATACAGATGGTGGCAGAGCCATCGCAGTGGCAACATGTGCCGACAGGAGAAAATCCAGCTGATCTATGCACAAGGGGAGGAACAACAGACGCACTGTTAGAAAACTCACTCTGGTGGCATGGACCAAAGTGGTTACTGCTAGAGGATAAGGCTGGTTGGCCTAAGATGGATGTAAAGAGTCGCCCTGCTTCATTACCGGAATTGAAGACACTAGACCGTAAGGAAGAGGAAGAAGATGTTGCAACTGTTCTAACATGTCGCCAGCAGAGCCCAATGAATCGAGAAGAAAATGGAAGGGCGAAATCAAAGTGGGAAAACTGGAGGCTTGAACCCACACGTTTTTCAAGTTGGACACGCTTAGTGCGGCTACAGGCCAGGGTGTGGCGAGTGATCTACAATATGTGCAATCCAAGGGAAAGGATGAAAGGACAAGAACTGTTGCCAGAAGAAATTGAAGATGCAGAGGTGGAAATTATTAATCGAGCACAGTTGAAGGCATTTCATGAAAAATATATCGCATTATTGAAAGGAAAGGAGATTCTAAACAAGAGTTCACTGAGTAACCTATGTCCCTGGCTGGACGATCAAGGTGTTCTGCGATGTGGTGGTCGACTTCAATTTTCCGAATATCCTCCGTACAATGTAAGGTTCCCCATTATGCTGCCAAGAGGTCAGTGGGTGACGAGACTGATAGTAAAGCATTACCACTGAGTTGTATAACCACAGTGCTGGGACGAACTTTGTGCTATCGCAGATTAGTGGAAGATCCTGGATTGTTGCAGCGCGTGAGGAGATAAGGGCATGGGAGAATGAATGCAGTGAGTGCAAGAGGAGAAGGAACAAGCCGGCCACACAGATAATGGGGCCATTACCACAAGTAAGGCTGCGCTTCACATTTCGTGCATTTGACCAGACTTCGGTGGACTACGCAGGTCCGTTCACCACTATACAAGGACATGGGCGTCAACGGTGAAAGAGGTGGTTGTGTGTTTTTACATGCTTGTCGACTCGAGCTATTCATCTCGAAGTGGCGTGGGGGCTTGATACAGACAGTTTCCTAAATGTATTCACCAGATTTACTAGCAGACGAGGCGTACCTAAGGAAATGATTAGCGATAACGGCACCAACTTTGTGGGAGCAGTTAATGAACTCAAGGGACTTGTGGGTCAACTGGAAAAAGATAAGATTCAGAGAACGACCACACAGAAGGGAGTGAAGTGGACTTTTAACCCCCCAGGAACTCCTCATTTTGGTGGGGCACATGAGGTGATGGTCAAGGCAGCGAAGAAGGCAATATATGCGGTGCTATGTAGTAGTGATGTCACAGACGAAGAATTGATCACAGTTGTCACAGGTGCTGAGAGCTTGCTTAACTCTAGACCACTCACCTATCAGTCAGCAAATATTAAGGATGATGTGCCGTTAACACCCAATCATTTTTTGAATGGGCAAATGGGTGGGCAATTTGCACCAGAGAGCGTCGACACTACGAAGTTTAACCCACGGAAGAGGTGGCGCAAGGTCAAAGAACTGATCTCACGAGTGTGGTGCAGGTGGTTGATGGAGTACTTACCTACGCTGAATACTCGTGCAAAGTGGACCGAAGTCGTCAATGACCTCAAGAAAGGAGACATTGTGCTAGTCCTGGAAAAAAATCTGCCAGGAGGGAAGTGGCCTTTGGGCCGTATGTGGAAACATATCCGGGAAAAGATGGACATTTACGCGTCGTGAAGGTTCAGTGTGGAGAAAAGGCTGTGGTGCGACCAATTCATAAATTGGTACTACTCTTGTGACTTGCTAGACTTTTAAGCGAACTTCAAGGACAAGAAAAAAAGACTGTTATCTTTAATCATGTTTTGCACACTGTGGTCCCTTCAGTGCGGAGAGGGGGAATGTTCAGGAGAACGTGACATTGCGTTACATGTATGGTATTTTTTTTAAATGAGTGACAGGGATCAAATGTCAAATGTTAAATGTACTTAGCTGGAGTTTTTTGCCTTGTGCAGACCGAGTATTCGCCATGGAGGCTTTGTTCTTAGTCAAAATAAAGTAAAACGCTGAGTTTAACCGCGGATTTATTGAGTCGGTCTCAACAGATATTGCTTTTTATCAATTATTTGCCATAATTAATAAAGTTCAACTTTAACTTTTAACTTTATCTAAAGAGGGAAGCGCAATAACCTGTTACAGTTTTCTAACCTACTGCCCTCAACCCACCCATCCCACCCCAGGGGAGGACATCCAGCACACAGTAATNATATTCATTGCATCTCATTTATCACTTTCACGGGTTTATTACGAATCAACTTAACGGCCTGCTCCCAGTTGGCTTGTTAGCTCAATTGGTAGAGCGCTGCACTAGTATCGCAGAGGTCAGTGGTTCGAGTCCCGTACAGGCCTGATTTTTTTCAGGTCTGATTTTCGCTATTGCATAAATAGCGCTATCTACTGCGAGGATCGCACATCATACGTATCTAATACCGCAGTTCAAAATATATGAACTTCATATATTCATTGCATCTCATTTATCACTTTCACGGGTTTATTACGAATCAACTTAACGGCCTGCTCCCAGTTGGCTTGTTAGCTCAATTGGTAGAGCGCTGCACTAGTATCGCAGAGGTCAGTGGCTCGAGTCCCGTACAGGCCTGATTTTTTTCAGGTCTGATTTTCGCTATTGCATAAATAGCGCTATCTACTGCGAGGATCGCACATCATACGTATCTAATACCGCAGTTCAAAATATATGAACTTCATATATTCATTGCATCTCATTTATCACTTTCACGGGTTTATTACGAATCAACTTAACGGCCTGCTCCCAGTTGGCTTGTTAGCTCAATTGGTAGAGCGCTGCACTAGTATCGCAGAGGTCAGTGGTTCGAGTCCCGTACAGGCCTGATTTTTTTCAGGTCTGATTTTCGCTATTGCATAAATAGCGCTATCTACTGCGAGGATCGCACATCATACGTATCTAATACCGCAGTTCAAAATATATGAACTTCATATATTCATTGCATCTCATTTATCACTTTCACGGGTTTATTACGAATCAACTTAACGGCCTGCTCCCAGTTGGCTTGTTAGCTCAATTGGTAGAGCGCTGCACTAGTATCGCAGAGGTCAGTGGTTCGAGTCCCGTACAGGCCTGATTTTTTTCAGGTCTGATTTTCGCTATTGCATAAATAGCGCTATCTACTGCGAGGATCGCACATCATACGTATCTAATACCGCAGTTCAAAATATATGAACTTCATATATTCATTGCATCTCATTTATCACTTTCACGGGTTTATTACGAATCAACTTAACGGCCTGCTCCCAGTTGGCTTGTTAGCTCAATTGGTAGAGCGCTGCACTAGTATCGCAGAGGTCAGTGGTTCGAGTCCCGTACAGGCCTGATTTTTTTCAGGTCTGATTTTCGCTATTGCATAAATAGCGCTATCTACTGCGAGGATCGCACATCATACGTATCTAATACCGCAGTTCAAAATATATGAACTTCATATATTCATTGCATCTCATTTATCACTTTCACGGGTTTATTACGAATCAACTTAACGGCCTGCTCCCAGTTGGCTTGTTAGCTCAATTGGTAGAGCGCTGCACTAGTATCGCAGAGGTCAGTGGTTCGAGTCCCGTACAGGCCTGATTTTTTTCAGGTCTGATTTTCGCTATTGCATAAATAGCGCTTTCTACTGCGAGGATCGCACATCATACGTATCTAATACCGCAGTTCAAAATATATGAACTTCATATATTCATTGCATCTCAAAACTATCATTTGCAGCATTAGTTCTGGGCTAGTAGGCATAATGAAGCACAAAGAACTGTAGGGGGTTGGTGATATCAAGCAAACCAGATTCCTCCATGGATTTGAAAGTGTAGTAAAACACATTACTGAAACATCGATACACATCTCGCCATAAACGCAAGATTCTCTGGTTACGAGTAGAAGTTCCAATAAGTGCAATCATACGGTCCTATACCAACACGTTTTCTCCTCCATGGTCAGTTCGTATTCTAGAAGGCCACGAATACTTATCAGCACTCTGCAGAAAAAGACCTTCAACGGCCTCTTCTGTTGTTTGTAGAACACTTCAAAAAACATATTAAACGAGAATAGCCATCTATACTACCATGTATAACAAACAAAACCCCACGTAATCAAACTGTCAAGGCCGTCAATATGCCATAAACTGTTAGGGCCAGGCACTGAATAGGCTCTTCTGGAAACCACTGTTGCCCATCTCAAACGGTAGTTGATCGGATCAAATCGCGAAATACTGGCTAGAATACGTTTTCTTTGAACACTGATACCCATACCTCTCAAGTGGCCACGAACCATTGAATACCCCACTAGGCCTCCTTGTACATTCATGAAAGCTCGCACAATATCATCTGAAGTGTTTTCCGGAAAGACATCACATACACCCAAGATGGCGGAGGGAAATAAACACACTTTATTCAGGTAGGCATGCGCTAAATATAACCGTTGAGCTGATGCTACATCCCCTCTTTTTTTTTCAAGAAGCAAAGAAAACTGAATTGACTGAATTTAACAAACAAAACCGTAACAATATATATATATATATATATATATATATATATATATAAACAGATAATGCTGCAACGAGAGCAATGTGTCCTTTGTTGAAAACTGAAAACAGAAAGCTTTAGTGAAAAGCTGCAAAGAGTCTACTTTGTATCTAACTCGTAACATAGTCCTTAAATCTCTGCGGTTCTGATTGTCCGACCAGACCGCGTGGTAATAGCCATAAACATTCCGGTTGGCGGTGTTACAGGATTCTCGTGGGCCACTATAACAGAGGATGGCTCAACTTCGGTGTCTGTCAGGTACACATCAATCGAGACTTCCGGTGTAGGGGTGATTTCCGGGATCTGAGACTCTTCAGTTCTTAATAAATGTCGACGGTTTCTTCAGTAATCTCCACGCTCTGTTTCAACCTTATAAGATCTGGGTGAGGGAAGAACCTGTGTAATTCTTGCGGGTTTCCACGTGTTGCCTTCTCTAACTCTTACAATCTCACCATCCCTCAAAGGTGGCAATACCTTTGCTTTTCTTTCATGCTGCAGCTTCTGCTTTCTCTGCCTTTCTTTTAACTTAGAGAGGACATTTTCAGGGTCATGGAGTTGAGGTTTCAACAAATCTTCAGTAACTGGAATTGAGGTTCTCAAACATCTACCCATTAGCATTTTCAAGGGTGACAGATCAACTTTCTTCAGGGGTGTATTTCGGTGAGAAAGGAGAGCTTTGTATGGGTCATCAGCTTTCTCTAGCATTGCTTTAACGGTCTGGACGGTTCTCTCTGACTGGCCATTGGTTTGTGGATACCCAGGACTTGAAGTGATGTGTTGAAAACCCAAGTCTTCTGAAAATTTCCAAAATTCTGCAGAGTTGTAACAGGGGCCATTGTCAGAAACGACAACTGAAGGGACTCCATACCTTGCGAACTGGGATTTAAGAGCTGTAATTACTCCGGTACTTGTCATTGACGGGAGTAAAGTTATTTCTGGTCATTTGGAGTAATAATCAACAGTAACAAGGCTGTTCCGACCGTTCTCGTGCAGAATATCTGTGCCAACCTTAGCCGAAGGCAATGGTGGAATCTCGTGCGACTTCACTGGTTCAGGCTGCTGACTTGGTCGATTTTCTAGACATACAGGACAGTTTTCAATTTTCTTGGTTATCTCCACACTCATCCTGGGCCAGAACAATACGTCCCGCGCTCTCGCTATTGTCTTGTTGATACCCAGGTGTCCATCATGCAGTTTCTCAAGCATCTCTCCTCTCAAGCTATTTAGTACAACAATCTTTTGTCCCTTAACGATCAGTCCCTAAGCTACTGTTAATTCATCACGGTAATTCCAAAACCCTTGTGCATTGGGTGGGACTTGACCTTTGGAATCTGGTCAACCCAACAAAATAACTTCCCTCAGCGAAACAGGCCAACTGGTGGTCAGAGATAACATCCTCTACGAGGTTTATGTCCAATTGCTCAGCATTCGTCAGCTGTTCTTCCAAATGGGCTCGAGACAGAGTGTCCGCTAAATGTGGCTGTATCCACGCTTGTATACCACATTGATTCCTGGAAAGCACTGGAGTTGGACCAACATCCGTTGCAGCCGTAAGGGTGCTACGTGTAAGGGCTTCCTCATAGTTGCCTCCAAAGGTTTATGATCTGATTCAACTGTGACATCACGACCCACGATGTACTCTGCAAATTTGGCACGGCCAAATACTACTGTCAAAAGTTCCTTTTCAATTTGGGCATACCTTCCCAGAGTAGGCGTAAGTGCCTTTGAGGCGTAAGCTAGTGGTCGTTCTTCCTGAATGAAAGCTGCACCCAGTTCAGTTGAACTGGCATGAACTTGTAGCCCGTGGGCTTTCTTTGCATCATAATATCCTATAAAAGGCGCGAGGACAAGCGATTTCGTTATTGCTTTAAAACTAATTTCCTGCTGCTCCTCCCAATGCCACTCAACATCTAGGTATAGTAACTGTCTTAATAGTTAGGTCAGACATGTTGGGGATGATTCTACTGACATAGTTGATCATCCCCAACAATCTTTGCTCACCAGATTTGTCTCTCGGCCTTGGCATTTCAACTATGGCTCTGACCTTCTCTGGGTCTGTCTTGAAACCATCATGGGAGAACAAGTGGCCATGGAACCTCACCTCTTCCTGTTGTATATGGCACTTTGACTTC